TAGATCCTCCATAAAAAAAACTTTAAAAAAAATTATATTTATAAACTAAAATGCTAGCCATTTAAAAAAAAATTAAAAACGAATTTTGACACTCAAATTAAAAAAAAAAAATGTTACTTACCCTCTGCTGTTTCCCTGTTCTTAGTTCAAACGTTATATAATTATTTTCGAAATCTTTTTAATCTCTAATTTTCTTTTCTTTCATTGTTTTCTTTTATTTTGAAGATTATAATATATAATTTTCATTTAGTAGGTAGGTCTGAAGAAATTTTTCTTTTTTTTAAATTATAGTAGTTATCAAGTTGTTTAATAGAAATTTAAGTAGGAAATAGAAAACAAAAGCTAATAAATAATGTATATCTCCCACGCACGAGTCATTAGAAGACTTCAGTGGGACTTTAAATATTTATTTTTATGTAATTAAATTATAAAGAATATTGTATTTAATTTTATAAAAATAAATATTATTATTATTATTATTATTATTATTATTATTATTATTTTTATTATTATTATTATTATTATTATTATTATTATTATTATTATTATTATTATTATTTTTATTATTATTATTATTATTATTATTATTATTATTATTATTATTATTATTATTATTATTATTATTATTATTATTTATTGTTTTTTTACATTTCGTCGGCTTTGAGCTGACGGAAACAATGTGTAGTGAGAAGGGTATTCACCCTATCTCACTTGTTTATTTTGGTGTTCTTTTATTATAGCTGTATGCTTAGATATTAAGGAATTTGCGTACAATATGGCATGTTTGTAGAATAGCCGCTTTCTGTATTCTCTTAATAGTGTTGTTGTTTATTTCTAATAATTTAATTTGATGTTGTAAACTCTTAGACACCACTCCTGTAACAGACATCGCCATTATTATTATTATTATTATTATTAGTGGCACCGACTTTAACATTTCACTACAACTAAGAACTACCAACAATCATTTAGTAATATTAAAATTTTCTGATGGGTGCACACAATGGTTACTACAACACCCTTGTGATTACAGCACGCTTTTAATAAACAATAAAATAAAGATTATAAAAATGCTAGTAGCTACATTTTCCAAATTTTCTTGCAATTCCCATTCGTGTGAATAATTTACCTCCGTCCTATCTTCATGGCAAAAGCTTTTTAAAATTTGCAATATTTTGTTTTCACAATTCATTGCTTACAAAGTGTCTATGACAGACCCACAGAAAAGTAGACTTGCACTGACAGCAGTGTTGCCAGAGGCCTTTAAAGAATTGTACAGATCCCAGGACAAAATTGTACCAGATTTTAAACGATTGTACAGAAACGAAATATGAAATATGTATGTTTATTAATAAATTTGGCAAACTAGATGTTAATTCTAAATACCATTATTAAACTAAGTTGTTATTGACGCGACTTTGTTATTTTGCAATGCATTTCATTTCGACTATACCTATTCATAGTGAATAAATAAATAAATAAATAAATAAATTTCATTGAAAAATTGCGAAAATTTCGTTGAAAAAAAAATAGACATATTTTATCCACAAATTCTCGTTCATGTAGACTTTGCTAAGGAAGTACTTTTTTTACTTCGTCATAAAGAATATCCATTTTATCCATGATAACTCATAAGCAGAACGAAAGAAAAACACCAAATTTTAAATTCAAGCTTTATTTCGGCCTGCGGAGGAACATCTGGGGGATTACTTTCTAGGGGGTCATTTTTATGTTTTATAGAATATATCTGTTATTTACGTTTAGAGAAGAAAATGATTTAAATAAATTACTTCTTAGTTCTAATATTATTTTCTATAATTTTTGTCTTGAACAAAATTTTCCTTATTCGAGAAATTTAACAAAATGTAAAAAATCAATTTTTTAAAAAAATTGTTTAAATAAAAGTTGTTTGTTATATAATTATCTATAATTCTTGTTCCATATATAATTTCTCTAAAATGGACCGTATTCGAGATATTTGAAAAAAAGTATAAATTTCGAATTTTTAGAAAACTCAAAAACGGATAAAGATAATTTTAAATTTAAGCCTTATTCAGGCCTGCGATGAACTGACTAGATTTTTGGCAGAGTCAGAATATTTGGGAGAGGGGGAACTTTATAGGGGGTCGTTTTTATATTTTATGGAATATATCTGTTATTTACGTTTGAAGACGAAAATTCTTTAAATAAAAGTTACTCCTATTATTCTTTATAATTTTTGTTAAATACAAAATTTTTCTAAAATGGTCCGTAATTGAGAAATTAGACAAAATGTGCATAATTCTAATTTTTGGGAAAATTGTTAAACTAAAAGTTGCGATATCGATCTCTATAAGTTTTGTTTTATACATGATTTCTCTAAAATGGACCGTAATGGAAAAATTGAAGGAAAAGTGTAAAATTTTAATTTTTCAGTATTTTCGTTGGCAATGAATATAAACTGCTGGCTACTCGAACTTAGAGATTTTTAGGCAAAATTTAAAGTTCAATATTTTCAACACATGATTTTCCTATCTAGTTGTTACAGGCTTTTTCCGATTATTTTGTACAACCTATTGTAGCACATCTGTAAATGTTTAGATAATAAACTAAATATATACATTTTTCACATATTCGAATAATTTTTTTAATATATATACGCACTTGTACATTATCTCCAATGAAGACCATCTAGTTTGACTAATTCTTAACAATTTGTGGGGTTCCGTGTCAATACATTCTTGAAATTCTTTATAAACGGTAAGCCTTTTTGGACTTTTCCATATATAGTTGTATATGTGTTGGACAAACTCCTCTACTGTAGAAGGTATTTTTTTGTCGCTTCTGATGCACATCGATGTAAGGAGTGACATATACAATCAAGAACAAAAATATTTGAATTAACTTTTTCTTTAAGTTTTGCTTGCCCCATCATAACAGAAGCGTTATCTGCACCGAAACCAATAACATCATGGTAATTAATTTCAGATTTCTCCAGTAAATCCAAAATGGCTTTAATTGCAAAGCAATTCTCTACCTCTACCAGTGACAATAACTGGTCTTTAATGGAACTTTGTTTTATATCTACAAAACGGCACAAAATTGCCTAACATTTTTTTGTAGAGATGTCTGTTGTTTCATCTACTATTTAGTTAGTTGTTGTACACGTTCATTTTCAGCCTCAATCTTAAACATTTTGATTATTTGGGTAGTCTTTGTTCTCCTACAATTTATATTTTTCACCACTTGATAATCTGGAATACTAGATACTAGAAGTTTAGGAACATTAATCCATTAGCAACATTGGGCAATTATGTTCTGCGATGAGGCTCATACTTAATTTGTACTCGGCTTCTTTAGCTACAACCTTCAATCGTTTTTCTTCTGAAAATTCTTGAAGCAATTTTTCAATGTTTCCTGTATTTGTAACTTGGCATTTTTTTTGTGAAACTGATGCTTTTCATGCCTTGTTAAATGTGTTGCCCCACCCTCAACTGTGTGATTACATAAAAAGCAAAATTTCTCCCCATTACGAAGTAGTTTTACCTGGAAACTGTCTAAATTTTTGATCATACTTTGATCTTTTTTTTTTACAAAGAAATTAAAATACTTGAGGAAGCGTTGGCCTTATTATTATTTAAAATAAATTATGAAATTTGTAGCCGTCATGCTACTCCATTGGAAAACCAGGATTTATTAGTAGAAAAAAATATTTTACAGTAAAAAAATTACTTGCTGTGGAGGAGATCTATCCCTACATTCTCAACTAAATGTTGTCGCAAATTCAGATTCTGATTCTGATTAATCACTATTTTATCAGATGGTCTAATATAGATAAACCTGATGAAATAGAAGGCTAAGAAATACTAAGCCTCCGGATCTGCCTCTTTAGCTATTCTTATTACAAACCTTTTAATTACAATAGTTTAAATTATTTGTTAATACAACACCTATAATATATAAAATTTACTATAAACCTAACAACCCCAACAAATAATAATACGAACCTATCCATTTTTTACAGTAAAATACTTATTTTTCTTTTGCTACTGATTTAAAAACATTTTGAAATTTATCGATATTTATGGTAAATGGTAAATGCATCGATATTTATTTTGAAAAATTCGTGCCGTCAGATCAATGTTTAAAATTGCACAAAATGTACCAGAAATATTATAAATGTACTTTTGTACAAACGGTCTCAAAATGTACCAGATCTGTACAATTGTACCAGCTCTGGCAAAGCTGACTGACAGGAAATATTTTGTTACATTTATTACAGCGTCAAAGATTGTGTGGCATGGCTAAGACATAATGACGTGATCTGTACTTGAGTTTGTAGTACACAAATACACCGTTGAGGATTACATATTATACTAGCTTTCAGAGCAGAGCGCTGTCTGCATCGCAGTACAGATTGTAATGCGGCACGCGCCAAATAATACTACATAGCCTACTATAGTACAGACAAAGGCGTGCTCTACACAATAGTATACTATGGAAATACGCTACCCGGAATCAGCCCTCAAAGTACCTTTGTAATATTAATCTCAATCTTATTTAGATATTCAGGTACATTTCAAAATCCTATCATAAAAATTATCGTCGGCCGAAATTTCCTGTCATTAGATGAATCCTTGCTTTGATCAGGTAAGCGAGGGAATTACTGGCTGAAATTACGTCAGCCAATTTACCCATTGGATTCGATTGGATTATTAACGTCATATAGCATTATTAATTTCGAGATTAATATAAACTAAAAATATTATTTTCATAACATTTTCGTTATTTCATAATTTGTTTATCTTACGATTTATAATATCCCTCGCTCTCTTGATCAGCAAAAATAAGATAGCCATGATTTTATGACAATTATATTGCTTACTAATATTATTATTCTTAATAATGAAATTTATATGCTTTTGCGTTAACTATACCTAGTAAATAAAATTTATATTTACATCATTATGTCTGACAAGCGTATACCAGCAAAATATGTACAGTGAATTTTAAAAACTTACTCTGACATTCTACTTGAAAAATCTCCTGTTTGGTTCATATCATACCATGAAACGTCCTGATTTAAGATTGCTTGTAGGTATTCGGACCTTATTCGAAATATCTAAAAAAAAACAATAGGTTTGTTATTTATATTATCGTCGGTCTAAAGCACACTTATTGGATATCCAAAAACGCATTTTTGGACAATCGCAAATTTAAACTTCTAGAAAGTGTAATTAAGTGCCTTAATTCACAGTTTTAATTTGAATTTATTGTAGTTTGGTGAGTGTTGGAGCCATGTTGGAGCTACAATGTTTGTGCCCAATAAAGAAGACTAAAATGCGATTTAATTGGTACCAAGATCGTTATTACATTAAATTTGGAGTTACAATATGTGTGCTTTAGACCGACGTTATGTATATAGAAATAACTGCAACCTAAAAGATATATTGCGCCCTTCTGTCGGCAAAACATCAACGAAATAGTCTTAACTTATATAACGATTCATCCAATCACATATTTCCAAAGAATAATGTGGGTGGAGGTTTCGTTCTCCTCCTCACATAATCTGCACTCACTATCTTCTACTTATCAAAGTTTACTAATTACTATATGTAGCCTGTTCTTGCTCATATTTTTTGGTTATAGTCACACAGAAGCATCTTACCTCATCTTAGCCCCAAGAGATCATTCCAATTGTCGGTTCTTCTAATCTCTCCCAATATTGTATTACTGTTGATACTGCAGAACGGCTTAGGACCCACAAAGGCTGTTTTAGCCTTGCAATACTATCCACAATCTCGTTACGCTTCACTCCGCTGTGTCTCAAGTGACAATAACTGTATTTTTGTACTAATCACATAAGAGATCATCGCCTTGATGGATCCTCGATTATTGGACATGATTACCTACTGTCTACGATAGTTTTTAAACATGAATTTTTGCCTTATTTATCCAAACTTTCAGAGTACTTGGTTCTAAGCCAGTTCTATCTGGGGTTTTGGAATCATCCGTATACTTGTGAATAGCGTACTTTTTGGTAGCAAACATGATTATTGGTTTCATCTTTTTTGCAGCACAGCGCAATGGTTTTTAATTTTTCACAAAACTGTACCTATTTCATATTTAGCCCAGGGGCATATCCGAAATATCTTCGCTCCTGGATCTAATAGGCTTCCGTCTGAATGGAATTGTTTGATTTTGGCAAAATTTCTTGTACCCCATAATAACAATTCCACAGATCATGTAAAAATAAGGGCAAACGTCATCTACCCCTTTGTGGACGCCCGATCCAGGTATCTTCACAATAATCAATTACTGACTGGACTTCTGCAGGTAACACATCTTGCTCGCAACTTGTTTCATGTGCCTTTACTACGTCTGCAGTAGGAACGAATGCTAAGGCCGACAATAATCGGAGCTTTAAAGCAAAATCTGCATCAGTTTCGTACCTTCTTTTTAAACCGTCTGACTGCATTCTTCTAAAGATACATTGACTGAAATGAAAAAAGCACCCACGATGTCTTGAGCCGGGATTTTGTTGTCTTGTAGCACTTATCATACCGCTTTCAAAATCTGTTAATATGGTTGCAGGCGAAGCTTCAGGCAAAAGTTCTTTTACTATTGAAAGTAACCGAATATAAGTTTTTTCTGCCTTGTTAGGTAGTAGTGCGTATACTAAAGGAATCGCAGTATTCTTATCTAATCCGTGGATTGTATGTATATAGCTGATAAAAAAGGTGAGGTACAGTTTTGAAAGTTCCGTCGGCAAACCAGTGTTCTGACCTTGCCAGAAGAAAAAGATTTTGTCTGGTTGAAAAAATTAACAACCGATCATCGTGTGGGCCTGAATCAAATAGTAAAACTTGTTCTCCATTTTTTGTTAGTTTATACTCTTCTGGAAAAGCAATGTCTCTTCTGTGAAGAGAAAAAGCCGGAGCCGGCTTGCTAATTACTTCGTACACGCCTTATTGTTCTTTTAATGCTGATCACTTTCGGAAGCGTGGCAGCTGTAGCTTGACTTAGCTGAACAGATGCAGTTGATAGTATATGATGTGGCCCATTTTGGCTTTATGTAACATTTTCACATATGCCATTGAGAAGTTTTGTTTTTTCCGCTATATGATTGTGTGTCCCACTTCTTTTTACTACTGCATGTTCTAAGGGTATAACACGAGCTTTACACAGCTTCTTGTAGTAATCATATTTCCAATAAATGTTTTGATTTTCTTTATCTTTCTGGTAAAGATAACTGTCAATCAATAATTTACTCTTCCCTTTTGCACTAAGTACAAACTCCAAAGCCATTTTGCGTCGTGACTCTTGCTCAGAGTTTGGAAAATAAAGCAATAGAAACCTTTAGTGCAGTATTTATATGAATTAAATAATGACTTAGTGTTAATTCTAAACAATATATAAAAATCAATTAGCGGGATATACTTCTAATGTAGATACCTACCTGAAGACGTTTAATAAGTAACCTTAATTATTATAGTATTAAAACTAATGGGGTGTACTTACTGTTCATTCTAAACAACATTTAAAAGCCAATTATGGTTACATTAGGATGTTATTTATTAAGAGGGATTAAAAAATTTTTAGCGAAAATGTACAGCATGTACATGTGCCGAAAATATTGGTTATATATCGCTATCCGTTATAAATTTATAAAGTTGCGCTAAAATATATTTTTTGGTTAATTCTCCTTTCGGGCAATTGTTCTTCGGGAAATTGTATATTCGGTCAATTGTCCATTCAATCAATTTTGTATCGGGGAAATTGTCCATTCGGGCAATTCTCCATTCGAGCAATTGTCCATTCGGGCAACTGTCTTCGGGGAATTGTCTTTCAGGAAATTGTTTTCGGGCAATTGTTCGGATACCCCGTCGGAATACTTTGTTTCTGATCATTCAATATGCTGTAATTTTACCATATTCTTTATCATTAAATGTAATAGTATCAGGTTTCATATCCCCCTAATTAAAGCTGTAGAAAATATTTTCATAAGATAAAGATAGGTCTAGATACTTGACCTTTCTTTTACATTCTATACAAATCTCGTCTGTTTTGACGATGTTGAGATTGATTTTTCTTTTCCTTGAAACATCTACTAGTATTGTTTTGGTAGGGGTTATACATACGGCACCATCTTCTGTTCTAGTTCTCTTTAGACTATATCAAATAGGATATTTTCAAACATCTCACAAAATATAACTATGTTTTCGGCATAAGCGTGATAGAGTATGCCGGAGTCGGTTAATCTTCATAGAGTTTCGTCTAGCGTTATGATCTAGATGAGCGGAGAAAGAACTTCTTGTGGACTGCCTCTGGTTGGGCAGATGAAGATGATATCTAGCTCTATCTGTGACTCTGCCAATTTTATAGATAACTGCTTAGACATATATCAGGATATGGGGATATCTACTCCTCTGTAATCGAGGGCTCTTTTAACAGATTTATAGTAAAACCGATTTCCCAAATTACCCAATTTTAAAATAATAAAAATAATATACTTTCCTGTCTCATTGCTGTATAATTGAAGGTGACCGTTGCAAGATAATTAAAAGCGAACATGCCCACACCAATAAGAGAATTCATCAACGCAAAATGTTTTATTTCACCGAAAAACTTATCATCTGCAGCAGTTTTTTCATCTGGAGTCATAGGAAAATTTGATCGCATGGCATATTCTATTATATTGCCTGTCAGAGTACCAAACAGAATTGTATTAAGTGGCTGTAACACTCCACTTCCAATTCCAGACAACAGCCCAATTGATATTAGAAATTTGTCAAACCTACTAGCATATCTAAACTGAAAATAAGCATTGATTAACATCATTGTAATATTGGGAATCCTAATTAAACATTTAAATAAAATTATTTACCTAAGAATAATTTAATTTAGAACATGTCAAATTTTATATATTAAAATTAAGATAATTTAAAAAAAAATAGAGATCTGGACGAATTCTAGATCTTTTAAAAATCTTTATATCTAAACTCCGAAGAAAATGTAAACGAATTTTAAAGCAAACTGCTACTAAATACTAGTGTCAATAAGATCTTACCATTTGAAAATACGGCACATTTTTTGTTTTCTCTTCAGGCGGCTCATTGTTATTAACAAATTCCCTGAAATAAAAAAAAAATTATAAAACCTTCGCAATTGTCAATTTTATTTAACATTCTATATATTTAAAGAATTGAATTACATTTTTAACCAACATCGGTCCTTCGCATTTTTTTTTCTTTCACAGTTCGGAAGTGATGCGAAGGTAGCAGACCAAACTTGGAAACTAAAAAGTCGAAGATACCTGAATGACCATTAGCATTGATCCCAAATTAATGTAATGTTTTAGATAAATGAATGCGAATGTTACCAATTTGAAAATCTCATGGAACAACTACTTATATGACTATTATCACAAAAGGCATTGAATTATTTCGAAAGACAAATAGCAGAACGTCTTCCTTGGACTGGTTTTTAATTATTATATATAGTTAATATGTACCCTCTCTTAATTTGGAGTATGTGGACAAAATGGCTTCACCCGGGCATTTATCATCGAGGTGGTAGAAGTCCACCAAATGGCTACTTCCAAAAAGGGAGCATCTAGAAACACCTCTCGGTGACGTTATTAACCTACAGAACGTTGACCCTAAGAGGGTGGCTAGCACAGGACTTTGATGAGTTGAAAAGATGACACTTCTGTTTTTTGTTGTGAAAATTTGCCTTATGAACACCTCCCCCTTACGGTCGGTAGTGTGGGGCTCGCTGCTCGCGTTATTCAGAACACATACCCACTAAAAACACCATGTAGGCCCTTATTCCACCCCGGGACCGCCAAAGGTGGGGGCTTCCAGCCCTCATGTTGTTTGCTTTTTTTTACCATCCTCCCATTTGCTGGTAGTTGCGTTCTTCTTCTTCTTCTTTCCTATGCATAACCATGATTATAAATTTGGTGATATTATTCCACTTCTCTTGAGTTTTCGTTATTTTTTCCACGATATTTTGTTGGATTAGAAAGCCCGTTATCTGCCTTATCTCCGTCCTTTCTATGTTCTAGCGGATGCACGCAAAAACGATGTGTTCCGGCGTGTCTTCCTCCCCGCAGTACATCCATTCAGCGTTTGCTGCTTTGCCAATCCCTTTTGGTATACGTGCGGAATGATCCATGTCCGCAAAGAACAAAATAATTTACTTTCCGATGTTCGAATTTCAACCAGTTATCCAGGTTGAGAATTAAGGTTTTTGTCCATTGTACTACGTTCGTAGTTTGCTCCCATTTATTTTGCCACATTCTTCTCGTAAGGTCTGATTTTTCTATCGTGATTGTGTTGTTGATTTCAGTGCCGTTTTTTTTCTGCTGTGTAGTCTTTCGCGTTCTTTACCATAAGATGTATAGGTGTTATCCCTGCAATAACATTTGCTGCGTCCGAAGATATGGTGCGATAAGCGCTGATCACTTTTATCAGCATCTTCATCTGGGTTTCTATTAGCATGTTTTCATATTTTATTGATTTCGATACTATGTGCCGTATCGAAGCGCCATAAAGGAGAATGGAATGGACGACAAGACTGAGAACAGCCCTTTTCTAGTTACTTAGGCCTCCTATGTTTGGTATCAATTTTATCAGTGCTGCGTGAGATTTTTCGGCTTTTTCGATTTCACAACTATGTCACAACCATGCTATTGATGGTGAAATTTTTTTTTATTCCTCCCCAAATTGCACCCCCTCAGACGGCTCGATACTCCAGCATGGTATTGGCGATGAAGAAAATAGCAAACTACATAACATATCCCAAACTGAAAGGTGTAAAATGCAATTTGTGGCTTCTGTGATTTTTTAAATTTCACCCTTAATTGAACCCCCTCAGACGGCTCGAAAAACTCCAGGATGGTATCAGGGATGAAGAAAAGAACAAACTACATAACATATCCCAAGCAAAAAGGTGTAAGAAGCCATTTGTGGCTATTATTATTTTTTTTTTAATTTCACCCCTCAGACGGCTCGACAGACTCTAGTATGGTATCTGGGATAAAGAAAAGAGCAAACTACATAACATATCCCAAACTAAAAGGTGTACAATGCCATTTGTGGCTTCTATGATTTTTTAAATTTCACCCTTAATTGCACCCCCTCAGACGGCTCGGCAAACTCCAGGATGGTATCAGGGATGAAGAAAAGAACAAACTACATAACATATCCCAAGCAAAAAGGTGTACAAAGCCATTTGTGGCTATTATGATTTTTTTAAATTTCACCCATAAATGCACCCCCTCAGACAGCTCGACAGACTCTAGTATGGTATCTGGGATAAAGAAAAGAGCAAACTACATAACATATCCCAAGCAGAAAGGTGTACAAAGCCATTTGTGGCTTATATGATTTTTTTAAAATTTCACTCAAAATTTCACCCCCTCAGACGGCTCGACAAACTCCAACATGGTATTAGGATCAGGGATAAGAAAAAGAGCAAACTAGATAACTTATCCCAAGCAGAAAGGTCTACAAAGCCATTTGTGGTTTTTATGATTTTTTTTTAAATTTTCCTCCCAATTGTACCCCCTCAGATGGAGCAAAAGTTAATTGCGGATTGGATATGGTTGTTATGTATTGAAACCTCTTCAATTGAAATCTGCAAATTAAATGAAAAGCGCCTACATGTCATTTGAACCAAGTTATATGACTATTAGAACGGATCTGTACTTTTCTCAGTGTATATTTGTAGATGTGGATAACACAGAACTGAAATTAGGAGAATGGATTTGACATTTTACAAAAATGTTCCTACAAGGAAAATAAAATTGAGTTTTTTTTGAGTTTGCGCAGTAGGTGCCAAACAGTGTCATAATTTGAAAAAATATACAGGATGTCCCAGCTTTTATTAGACAGGCTGTTACTTTTATAATAATTATCACAATTAAATGAAATTCAGATCGGAGCTATCTGAATTTTCCAATATCTAGAAGTTCCGGTCATACTGGAAGTGATCATAAATGTTGTTATTTCAAATAGGACACACTGTATATTTTAACAATTCTAAATTCTCTAATCAGTTCTACACATTTTTCATGTAATATATCCTATGCCTATCTTTAACCGTTTCTGATAATTTGGTGGTTACATTAACTTATGATTCTTGTTCGAAAATAAAATATAAAAATAGTACAGTTTATTGATTGTTATGAAAAGAGAATACATAATTATTATAATAAATGTTCAAACTGTCTTCCGTCCCTTCAACACAAGCTTGAAATCGTTTTAAGAGTTCCTTTGTACACGATGCTCTTATCATCTCGAGAGTAATACTATGGCATGCTCCTCTTATTTAAGATCATTTAAATCAGTTGGTTGGGTTGTATAGACCATGTTTTTGAGATGGTCCCATAAAAAAATCTAAAGTGGTCAAATTAGGAGAACGCCGGCCACCTTATAGGTCTCTTGTTTCCAATCCATTTATTGGGAAATCTCATATCCAGGTAATTTGTGACAATTTTATTATTGTGTGGTAGGGCACCGTCTTGTTGCCAGAACATGGTTGCGCGGTCGCCAAGCGGAATGTCTTCTAGCAGCCGGGAAGACAGTTTTGAAGAAAATGTAAATACCTTACCACATTTACCGTGTCATCAAAAAAATAGGGACCTATTAGACGCCCGTTAAATAGCCCGCACCAAACATTGATGCCCCACACTATTTGGAAACGAGTTTCTCTGACCCAATGTGGATTTTCTACTGACCAGTAGTGAGAATTGTGGCGATTTACCATTCCATTGCTGTGAAACTTTGATTCATCGCCCCATAAGATTTTCTACAAAAATGTAAGATCCTCAGAAAGGATAACTTGCACAAGAGATATAAATTGCAACCTTACCTCGTAGTCGGTGGGACGAAGTTCTTCAACAAGAAATATTTTATAGGGATGGTATTTTTCTGATTTGAGGATCCTGTGTACAGAACTTTTGCTAATTCCCATTTCTAGAGAAATTTCTCTAACGGAAAATTTTGGATTTACATTTGCATAAGCAAATACGTTTATCGAAATTTCTTTATTTCTTGCAGGTGCCTCATGATGGGAATGTTTTATTGAATTCGGAAAAGAACCGGTTCGTATTTTTGACTCAATCAAGGGAAAAGTATACGCTGCAGGTGTCCTACGATCGGGAAACCGTTGTTGATACACTCTTTCTGCATGACGCCCGTTTTTCTGACACTCACCATATAAAAGTAACATATCAACACATTCATTGGGTGTGAAAGTAAAAGGAATTGTACTTTGAGTCGTTACCACTAAAATTAACCAATTAGTTGTCAACAGCGATGCAAATAACAACGAAAGTCTGACAAAACAAAGCCTACTAGATATATCTAGATGAGTAGCATAAAACATTCATAAACACAATGCGTAACGAGGAAACTACTGAAGAAGTTTTAGGCTTTTCTTGAGACAGAAAGAAGTCACTTCAAATGTTCATATAATTTCTAATGTTAGATTTTTTCGTTATAAAATATCCGTAAAATTTATTAAATTGTACTATTTTCATTTTCAGACAAGATACTTAATAAGTGTAAACTCCAAAGTATCAGAAACGGTTAGAGATAGGTATAGGACATGAAAAATGTGTAGAACTGATTAGAGAATTCAGAATTGTTGAAATATACAGTATGACCTATTTGAAAAAACAAAATTCATGGTCACTTTCGGTATGACCAAAAGTTCTTGATATTCGAAAATGCGCTCATTCAATAGCAAACTTGTCATTGTAGCACCCTTCTAAATTTCATTTAATTCTGATAATTATTGTAAAACTTACAGCCTGTCTAATAAAAGATGGGACACCCTATATATAACAATGCTTTCAGAAAAAAATTACGGCGGGTTGTACAATACGCGTTTAATGGTCCCAAAAATTGTTCTTAAATGAATAAAATTAACATTTATTTTCAAATCACTTTCACGAATGACAATTAACATGTTTGACAGATACGCACTAAGCAAACTCAAACCTGAATTTTAAATCTTCTTAACGGAACGTAAATTTTGAGCAAAAATTGACATCAAATACATTCTCCTAATTTCAGTTCTGTGGTGGATAACTTCACACACGTACTGTTAATAGATTCTTGAGAAAATGTTGTTTTGTGTATTTACCTATTATGAGTATTTACACAGAAATTCTACTTCTTCTATAAAGATGAAATTATGTTGTTTAATAACTTAAGTATGAAAAACTGATGATTACTTACACATTTAAAGGATTCTTTTTTTCTTTGCCACCATTAGTAAGGTCATAAGCTTTTCGTTCTTTCATCATAGCCTAAAAAACCAAATATTTTTATTATTCCCGTACACAATTAGACAAGGAATTCATTTTAGATCATTTATTTAATTTAATTCTAAACTAAATCAGTTGTTAAAACAAATTTGTCCAATCATATCCTAATATCTTCCTACTTCAAAATATTTTAGTTTTGTCTATTTCTATTGACATTTGTAAAAGAATTCCGCACATATAAATTTACATATTTCTACAATCACCTCACTTTTGCAACCAATAAACGTTTGTCACAGTTTTTCCGCAACAAGTAAACCACATCTTCAAGTTACGCTGAAAAACCCTTCAAATCTTATTTAGTAGATTTGCAGTAGATTACCAAGAAGACTTTAGGTGAATTTAGTCTCAATTCAAACCAAGAAGGTGAGAAGGGCAGGATATGACACCACATGAAGTAAGTGTCTATTGAATATATCTATGAAATTTTTGACATTTATTTGTATACTATTTATTTTTATTATTTTTTATTTATTTGTATTTATTTGTATTTATTTTTATATATAGGGTGGCTCACGCTCAACGGGACGGAGCTTTATGGGAAAACGACCAAAGATATAAAAAATTCGTTTGGGAGGAATACGTAGGTTACAGACGGCTACAATTTAAAATTTGTTAGATGTATACACCCACATAAGAGAAAATATACAAAGTTATATTATTTTTAATGAAACACCCTGTTTTTTATTTTAGAATTAAAAACTACATCAAAAATAATGTCAGTTAACTAAAGGTTCCCTATTACTATTATTATTAGTTTTCGATTTATTTGAATTTTTAAGGAAAAAAAGTCTCCCAGAAATTAATTATTTACTCTTGTTTGAATAATTTTTAATGAACTAATTTTTTTTTCTTATGTGGGACATCCTGTATACATCTAACAAATTTTAAATTGTAGCCGTTTGTAACCTACGTATTCCTCCCAAACGAATTTTTTATATCTTTGGTCGTTTTCCCATAAAGCTCAGTCCCGTTGAGAATGAGCCACCCTGTATTTTTATTTATTTTTATTTATTTTTATTTATTTTTATTTATTTTTATTTATTTTTATTTATTTTTATTTATTTTTATTTATTTTCATTTATTTTTATTTATTTTTATTTATTTTTATTTATTTTTATTTATTTTTATTTATTTTTATTTATTTTTATTTATTTTTATTTATTTTTATTTATTTTTATTTATTTTTATTTATTTTTATTTATTTTTATTTATTTTTATTTATTTTTATTTATTTTTATTTATTTTTATTTATTTTTATTTATTTTTATTTATTTTTATTTATTTTTATTTATTTTTATTTATTTTTATTTTTATTTATTTTTATTTATTTTTATTTATTTTTATTTATTTTTATTTATTTTTATTTATTTTTATTTATTTTTATTTATTTTTATTTATTTTTATTTATTTTTATTTATTTTTATTTATTTTTATTTTTATTTTTATTTATTTTTATTTATTTTTATTTATTTTTATTTATTTTTATTTATTTTTATTTATTTTTATTTATTTTTATTTATTTTTATTTATTTTTATTTATTTTTATTTATTTTTATTTATTTTTATTTATTTTTATTTATTTTTATTTATTTTTATTTATTTTTATTTATTTTTATTTATTTTTATTTATTTTTATTTATTTTTATTTATTTTTATTTATTTTATTTATTTTTATTTATTTTTATTTATTTTTATTTATTTTTATTTATTTTTATTTAATTTTATTTAATTTTATTTATTTTTATTTATTTTTATTTATTTTTATTTATTTTTATTTATTTTTATTTATTTTTATTTATTTTTATTTATTTTTATTTATTTTTATTTATTTTTATTTATTTTTATTTATTTTTATTTATTTTTATTTATTTTTATTTATTTTTATTTATGTTTATTTATTTTTATTTATTTTTATTTATTTTTATTTATTTTTATTTATTTTTATTTATTTTTATTTATTTTTATTTATTTTTATTTATTTTTATTTATTTTTATTTATTTTTATTTATTTTTATTTATTTTTATTTATTTTTATTTATTTTTATTTATTTTTATTTATTTTTATTTATTTTTATTTATTTTTATTTATTTTTATTTATTTTTATTTATTTTTATTTATTTTTATTTATTTTTATTTATTTTTATTTATTTTTATTTATTTTTATTTATTTTTATTTATTTTTATTTATTTTTATTTATTTTTATTTATTTTCATTTATTTTTTTAATTTTATTTATTTTTATCTATTTTTATTTTTCCCCATCCTTTAAATGTGAAAATTCAAAAACCATGAAACAAATCATTATTTATTTTATTTCAAATTTTCATGTTTTTAACTTTAAGGAACAAAAAATATAAACATACTTCCAAACAAATTTTCACCCCCCGTTTCCTCCCTTAAAATGTGAAAATGCAAAACCCCTAAAAGACTTCATTATTTATTTAAGATGAGAACCAACAATTCCAATTTTCAAGTTCTCCTACCTGTAAAAAAAATCGATACTTTCAAATAAACTTTCATCCCTGTTCCCCTCTCCCCCCCTTAAATTGTGAAAATCTAAAAACCCTGAAACATGTCATTATTAATTTGTACTGAGTAGTTGCAATATCAGTTTTCATGTTTCTAACTTTAAAGAGAACCAAAGACATAGATACTCTCAAATAAATTTTCACCCCTCCATTTCCATGTCTTAAAATGTGAAAATCAGTTGTTCTAGTATACCAGTGGTAGATTAGAAAATCTTCATTTCACCGTGTATACAAAAACATATGCGTACTCTACCGTCCAAAATAAAAATTTTAATATTATTTACATGTTTGTATCTTCCGTACCTATAAAAAATATTTTCTTTGCTTTATATTTTTGATATATTCAAAAATCAGGAATAAATTACTAGAACATAATTAATGGCTTCGTTAGTAGAGGTTAAGAAAATGTTTGTACACATCTTGCCATAAATTATGTAGCTTCTATCAATAGAATTTTTGTACATTATTATTATTTGCAGGTTACCCAAAGATCCGGCTCGCTTAAAAATTTGGAAAAATTTTGTAGACAGATGCGTTTGAAGCCTACAAATTACAGCTTACTTTGTTTTTGGTCTTAAAGGGCTCGGAAAAGGTAGTACTCGCAGTCAAAAGCAAACTGAAAAGGGTGGTATTTCAAGTAATTTTTATCTTGCAGAAACTAAAAAAAAAGTTTAGGAAAGCCTAATTTTTTAACTCTTGTATTTTTGGGTACCTTCTGTAGTCTTTATGTTATTATAAAAATTTGTTTCGATATTTTAAAAAATCATTACAAAATTAAATAAAACTTTTCTTTCATTCCAAACTGTTCAATCTTCTAAAAAACTGAGAGAGCCGCATTATATTCATGATAACTCTATTAGTTTTCTTTTTCATATGAACAACTTCAGAAGAAGCTTATTTTAAAATTCTTTTTAAGCACTTTCAAATTCTATGACAAGTTTTCCTTTAAAAATTTGTCGTTTCTCCGTTAAGTACTTAACAAATTTAGGCGTACAAACGAGCCATAACTCGGTTTCTATTGCATGTATAGAAACAAAAAATAAATAAAAATCTATTCATTTTAAAAAACTGGTTTGTGCTGACTGTTTTTAAAATGTAAGGTTTTTGAGTTATTCGTAAAAAATTGCTCTAAAACATGCATTTTTTGCATGAAACAAGAAACATTTTTTTTCGCACATAACTCGAAAAATTTTAATATATCGATATGTGTTTTTGTAAGGGGCATCCACCTTCATGGTGAAAGCGCACAACTTTTCTTCCATGAGCGATTCCTTAGATACTGTTCAAATTTCTCTTCAATCGGTTTAGTCCGAAATAATTTGGAGCGAAAAATCGTTAAACCCTGGACTAAAAGACATAAAAAAAACCTTAAAGAAATCATTCTAATGCCCTAAAAGGTGCAGATCTTTAATTAAAGGTGTCTTCCTCGGACCTTCCGTACCTGGTTGATTTTCTTTAAATTGTAGATAATATAAAAAGGATTAATTAAAAAAAAATAAGATTTTTAAATGTAGCATCAGCTACGTTGCAATCGTTAGGGCGGTTTTTCATCAAACGGATAAAACAAAAACAAAACACAAACTCGAAAAAAACAAAACTCCAACTTTTGGCAAACTTTTTAAAGACTGGCGTGTTTTACGGCAGTTGGAGTTTTGTTTGTTGAGTCCCGCTCGGAAGCGGTAACATCAAAAGGTATCAACGTGTTTTGAAATTCGAGTCTGCTTACTAGAAATGGTCGCGGGTGTTCTGTAGTCTAAATGTTGTATAGTTAAATAAATAATTTATTTTTTTTTTATAAGTAATTTATTTTGAAATGGTTGATACATTATATAGCCCACTATAAAGCCCCAACCGAGCTGGGTAGTCAAAACAGACTAACATTAGCCTTAGCTCTTAAAAAATTTCAAGAGTGGTTGAAAAACTCACCAAGATAGAGACAGGACAAAGAGTTCTTAAAAGGACCATCGTCTAAACTCACCGAGCATCTACTAAGCCTTAATAGGAAAAATACTAGAGTAGAGTAGTAGTAGTAGTAGTAGGCCTAATAACAGGGCATTGTAGGCGTAAAAAATAAATATACAAATACAAATAAAATACTGAAAAAATGTGTTCTGACTTCCTCGCGACAAGTGAAAAAGGAGCGAAAACAAAACTGGAACAAAATGTAGCCCGTTTGATGGAAACAAGAGTTTTGGGTTTGTCTTAGTTTTGTTTGTTTTTCAAGTTTCAGAAAACACAAACAAAACATAAACTCAACTGTCCGTTTAGTGGAAAACCGTCTTTACAATAACTATTTATAGGCATACCTGTCTCTCGACAGACAAACACTTTCCACCCCAATATGTAATATATTTGAATGCTTTTCATATAGTTCAAGCGGTGGATAAAGAATAAGGGGGTCTATTCGCAAAAGTTCGGAAAGAAATGAAGTTTGGTGGGATGGTAGACAT